CCCTTCCTCATTCCAAATCACTAACACACCTTACAGGGAGTATGCGAAGGCGGCTCCGTTGGCAAAGAAATCACAACCTGGATCCAACGCCACCTCCCCCTCGTCATCGGCCTCGCAGCCGGAATCGGCGGCGCCCTCCTCCTCTGCATCTTCTGCTGCTGTCTGCGCTCCTACCGCCGTCGCTCCAAACTCAAGAAATACGCTCAGGCTCCCCCGCCCATGCCTTACCAATCCGGTGGCAGCTCAAGGAGGAATCGAAGCGGACCTATGGGCCCTCCTCCCATGGGCCAATATAACAACGGCTATCCTCCTCCTCAAGGACCGCCACCACCAAATGGTGCAGCGGCGCCGTGGCAACCAAATCCACATGCGCCGAATGGCAATGTGCCCATGCCGCCGCCAGTGCATAGGAGTAGTGTGCGGTATGCGTAAGCTATTCGTTTTCTGTCTTGTTTTTGTTTGAAAGGACTATATCACGGTCATTTACACCCCTGGGCTTTGGAAAGCTGACGGGATTTGGGCGAATTCTGCATCGTTAGCGGCGTTTATTCATACTTTTGTTTCGTTTGTGTGATTCTTAGTGGTAGGGTGGTGGGAAGCCTGCCGTTTTTGCATTAGGGATTGGGATGGATAGGGTGGTAGGAGATGGTGTCGGTGTAGATGGAGTGGAAAGAAAGAATATATCCCTCTTTGTGTGCATGTTTGTGTTTCAATTGTCGCGCAGCAGTGTGTTCGTGAATTGCGCGACTGGAGTTGAGCGTTTTCGCTCCAGCCTCAGGCAGCTAATGGGTCAAAGCGTTCGTGTCCTGCCTGCGCCTTACAGCCTCCATGCGACCTGCCACACCACTCTCTCGCCAACCCCGCACCAAGGCCTGTATGAATCTCTTATCAGCGTTGCGCGTCCTGCACGCGATACCGCTGGAATATGTGGATGACTACGGATCGAACATGCAGCCACACTCCTGCCGTTGTACCGATGTATGAAGTCTAACCAGTTTGGCCTGGAATACATCAATACGAACGAGGCTGAAAATGCACAGCCGCGGCTATGGCAGGCTGCAACTTTCGTTAAAAGTGTCGAACCGCCCCGCTTACTTATGACATGTTCACGCCAGTTATTATCGAACACTCGTCGTGTCCTGGACGAAATATCACAAGCCTGAAACGCGATGGCAAGCCCCCATGTTCCGATTCGCCCTCACAGCTGCAAACATTGTCAGCGGATCGTGCTCCGGAAGGAAAATATCACGCAGTTGCCATGTTTAATCAAAATCCCGCATACCATAGCCGAGATCCGACAAGCCGCAGAAGATCAATGCGAGCTCATACTTTGCTTTGCCGCTGCTTTGATGACGTCGCATATGCTACACTGCTCTGGATGCCCCGGCTGTATAGGTCACCGGCGTCGGCATAGGAGCATGCTGTTTGGGCGCGAGCACTCGATAAGTGGACGATATTGTCTCCGTCTTTCAGCAGCAGAATACCCTCCCAAGAAACGTCTTCCGATGCTCGACTTTTGGCACTATAGTCAACTTGGTGGAAAGGACGTGGGTTATGTTAAGATGGTACCTATTGGAGTAACAGGTATGTCAATCCATGTATGTACCTAGCACATTCTGATCAAATCGGCGATAGGTGAAGCTGCCAATGAACTAGACACCATCTCCAGAGGATGGTATAATGCAGATGTAGCCTCAAAGTCAAATTTGGCAGTAATGTATCGATGGCTCAAAGAATGTCACTCTTCCCACGCTTTATGCGGGCAGAAGCAAGTTGACTTCGTACCCAGGCGACTTTTACGAATCGAGTCGGCCACGGAGGAAACAACTGTTCGTTTAGTGGAAAACTTGCAGTACGACGAAGCCCAATGGGCTGCTTTGAGCTATGTTTGGGGCGGAGTTCAGACCTTTCAAACTACCGCTGCTTCCTTCGTCAGTATGCAAGCGGGTTTTAGAGCACAAGATCTACCACCGACCCTTCAGGATGCTGTCACAGTCTGCATAGCCATGTCTTTGGACTACCTATGGGTGGATTCACTCTGCATCATCCAGGACGACGACGAAGACCTTGCGCGTGAGCTAGCTTCTATGCCCCAAATCTACCAAAGAGCCTGGGTCACTATATCTGCTTCTACCGCAGCAAGTGTTTCGGAAGGATTCTTGCAGAAAAGATGTTATTCTCATCAGGCGCTTCCTATATCGCTGCCATATCTTGCCGATGAGGGCTCGGGTACAGGGGAAATCATATATGTTCGTCATGAGAGTGGCTGCGGAGATAAGACGGAATATATAAACGAACGCGCTTGGACATATCAAGAGCGACGATTATCTCCTAGAGTCCTTGATTTCAGGCACAATCACGTTGCTTTATACTGCTACGAGGGCAAGCGATGCCAGGGCGACGGCTCCAAACGATGGAAGAAACCAACTTGGAACCATCTTGCAGCAGCTACGCAAGAACAGCGACTCTACCAACCTTTGTCGAGACACGAAGAATTACCACCCTGGTATGGCATTGTGGATGAATATGCAATACGACAGACCAGTTTCCCGTCTGACAAACTCACAGCACTATCAGCTCTTGCTGATTTGTACAAACAATCTACAGGTCATACGTATATCGCGGGTCTTTGGAAAGAATCCTTGATGAAGGACTTGTGCTGGAGCACTCGCGGAGGCGATATCTTTTGGCGGCCAGATGTATACCGTGCGCCCTCATGGTCATGGGCTGCTGTTGATGTAGCCCGGCCCGCAGGGGCAGTGAGCGACAGCATGTATCATCGGATCAACGACCTCACGAAGAATCCAAAAACTACGATTATGGACTTCGCGATCGAACAAGAGCCGCCCAATACCACTTTTGGCAAGATACACGCAGGGTTCTTGAAGCTAAGGGCGCCTGTACTGTGGATCGAATGGCCGTACCACGACGAGTCTATGGCGAGGATGAATTTGAGCCCTTCAGTATCCGTGGAGGCTTTTCGGGATGCCAGAGAGCATGGCCGACTTGATGGGGAAGTCATCCCTGTTTTGGCAGTTTTGTTGATGCAACAAGTACACCCGAGGCGCAATCCTTGCGATGGGCTTGGTAAACATATGTACAATTGGCTTCCCCACAAAGACTATAGCCTCCAATATCAGGCCAGGATTAGGGTTAGGGACAGGGGAAGATTCACTCATCATGGCCTGATGCTCGTAGAAGACCCACCGGGGAAATACCGTCGAATAGGGATGTTTGTATGGGAGATGAACAGAAACCATGCTAAAGACCGTCGTCTTCACGCTCGCTTCAGTGTACGGACAATCACTATAATATAGTTCTATCAAGGGTATTCTCGCAGTTATGGTACGGTTGCAGGACCTCGCACATGTGAATGCCAGGCATTTGCGGTGGTCGTGAAGAGCAGTACGTCGTATGCTCATGATTCTCATGTCGAGGAAATCCTAGAGAGCTCGAAGAGAGGCATTTGCTATTTCGGCATTCCGTATATACAAAGAAGATTGTCCCTTCGTAGCGGGAGCGGGGTTTGCCAAAGCTAATCTCCTGACGCGCCACTAACACGCGCCTGTTATGACATACCAACCCACAGCTGAACGCGACTACGATGGCGTAAGTCATAATACGATAAGGGGATCCCAGTGTGTCGGATACCTAGACGAATTGCGCGACAATGTCGAAATCGAGAATGTCGAACGAGCCGCCCCACTACGACCACAACTGCCGTGGACCCTGATTAGCGATGAAGTCATCGACGCGACATTTTTAACCACGACGCGTTTCTGAAAGAACGACCACAGTTTTGTTCTTTGATTTAGAAGTTTGACAGAAACCACACGTATCCAACAATCAAGATGTTAGCCCTCACCAGCGCAACAGGCAAGCTCGGCGGCGCCGTGCTCAACGCCATCCTCGACAACAAGCTCATCGACCCAAAGGAGCTTGTAGTATGCGTACGTCTCTCTCTTCCCATCTATCCTCTTCAATTCCCCATCCCCGTAACTAACAACCCTCACAGACATCCAGCGACCCATCCTCCGAGCGCTTCTCCTCCCTCCGCGCCCAATCCATCACCCTCCGCCAGGCCAACTTCGATGAGCCCTCCTCCCTCACCACCGCCTACGCAGGATGCACATCCCTCTTCCTCGTCTCCACACCACGTATAGAAATGGACTATAACAACGCGCCCCTCTGGCACGGCCGCGAAGCCCACCACCGCGCCGCCATCGACGCTGCATTGCAGGCAGGCGTACAGCACGTCTACTACACCTCGCTCGGTTTCGCGAACCCCTCGAAAGCCGGTGTCATGCGTGCGCATATCAGGACAGAAGCGTATCTGTCCGACCTGGCGAAGGAAGGGAAGTGTACATACACGGTGATTAGAGAGGGGTTGTACAACGAGAGCTGGCCCTTATATTTCGGATACTACTTCGGACTCAAAGAGGAGACGAGGAAGGAAGTCATTGTAGCAGGAGATGGCAAAGTAAGCTGGACGAGTATACCCGACATGGCGTTTGGTACGGCGAAAGTACTTGCTGCGCCGCGCGAGCAATGGGCTGGAAAGACGTTTTACCTGTCGCAGAAGAAAACTCATTCGCTGAGTGATATCGCGCGCATTGTGAGTAAAGTGCGGGGCGAGGAGATTAAGCTCAAGGTCGTGAGTAGGAAGGAGTATGAGGATTACTATGTGAACGAGAAGGGCATGGAGAGGCCGAGTGTGGAGTGGTGGAGCAGCACGTATGATGCGCTCAAAGAAGGGGAATGCGAGATTGATGATTCGACGTTGGAGGCGTTGCTCAAGGAGGCGGGGAGGACGCCGAAGCCGTTGGAAGAGACGGTCGAGGAGATGCTGAAGTAAGGCAGTGAATAGTAGGATAATATATACTCATTCTTCATCTTCATGACTAGCGTCTACTCGTACAGCATATACATGCACCATTCTTCTCCACCCGCTCATCCACTTGCCTAAGACACAGCTATCCCCTACCTACTTCCCTCTTCGTCTATATCCTCACCCTAGCCGCACTCTCATTCCTCTCAGCAATCATCCCGAACCCAAAGTCCTTTCTTCGCTTATTCCCCTTGCGATCACCATACTGCTCGTCAAACTTCTTGATCGCGCTCAGACTGCTCATGTCTTCGCTGATACTGGCGCTGATTTCCTGCAGCGCCTTGTCAAAGTGGCGTGAGTGTAGGATGCGTTTCTCGGGGAATGTGTAGTTTTGGCCGCGGACGAGGTGTAGGGCTTTTGGTGGTGTTGATGGCGAGGAGGGTTGTTGTTGTTGGGAGGATTCAGAGGCTGTGGATGTGGCTGCGGTCGTGGATTCCGATGTTTCCGAATCAGGAGTGGATATGGCTTCAGACTCAGACTCTGTACTGGCTTTCGCAGCGGCAATGGCGGCTTGTTCGTTCTCTTCCTTGACGCATGCGAGGGCGGCAGAGACGGCAATGTTCTTGAGATCGCTTCCGCTGTAGAACGGGGTGCGCTTAGCGATGTCTGCTAGATCGACAGAGTCATCGAGTTGTTCGCCCTTGAGATGTATGCGTAGTATCTCTTTCCGGTCGGCCTGCGTGGGTAAATCTACCAACAATCGTCTGGGTAGTCGGCGAATGACAGCGTCGTCCAAATCGAAAGGTCGGTTTGTAGCTACCATGACGAACACAGAAAGATCATTGAGGCCATCCCACTCTTTCAGGAATTGGTTGAGTATGTCGCGATGCGACGTTCGTTCACGCATCGCGTCTCGGGACGCAAAGACAGCATCTGCTTCGTCGAGGAAGACGATGCATGGCGATAACTTCCGTGCTAGAGAGAAGATGGCTGCCACATTCTTCTCGCCCTCGCCCACATACTTGTCCATGATTTGGCTACCGGAAACTTCGAGTACCGTGCTGCCACTCTCCTTCGCTACAGCCTTGGCTAGAAGCGTTTTTCCTGTGCCGGGAGGTCCGTATAATAAGGCGCCAGATATCTTCTCCGTCGCTAGAATACCATAGCTGAAAGCCTCAGGACGTAGTAGTGATAATGAAGTAATGGTTCGTATCGAGTCTACCGTCTCGGTGGGCACATGTACTTGGTCAAAGGTCGTTTTGATCTGATCCGGGTCTGCGATACCGGGCATGAGCCGCTTTTCGTGCTTGTTGGCTGTAGATGCTATGCGTTGCAGATTTCGTTGACGCTGCATGCTCTTCTCGTCTGGACGTTTCCTGCCCAGGTCTGCCTCAAACCCTCCTTCCTGATTACCAAAAGCGTTTTTGGAGCGTTTCGGGATCGCTGCCGCAGCCTTCTCGAAAGAGGTGTATTTAGTTGTGTCACTCGACTTTAGCAGCCCCATAGCAAGCGCGACATGTGCCCAGCTTACTTGCGCCGGTGCGTCCTCAGAGGTTGCTGCCTCGCTTGCTGGGCGTGTGATAAGCAGGCCGAGAGCTGTCAATGCCACCCTGTGTACCTCATCGTAACTCAACACACGGCTGAACTGTGATGAATGGAAAATAGGCGCCCACTCGGCGAAGCGGAAAGGACTTTGCTCCAAATTCGAGATATTGGCAGCCGCCGCTGGATCTAATGAGCGAAGCATGTCTTGGATATGCCATAGATTGATGCGTCGGAATTTATCTTTTTCTGCTGTTGAAAGGTCAATCGACGACGCAGAGTTGCTACCCAACGATGCGAGAGCTTCGTCGAAATTTGGTGTACTACTGCTGCCAGACTCTGATGCGACGACAATGGTCCTGAAGAAGCCGCTTTCGCCTTCGCTTTGGAGAGCACGAACTCCGCTGGTGTGTGTTAGCTTGGCCGTTTCTACGTTGTGGGTACTCCTTACCTGGCGGACAGTTCAGGCGTAAGGTCGCGTGAACAAGTGCTTCCCACAATCATGACGCTTTCTCCAGCACTACGGCGCTTGCGAACAAGCTCTTCCAGCTTCTGAACGATGCGGCCACCATAGTGTGTAGCATTTAGTTGTTTGAAGTCCGGGATGTAGATAACTTTAGACTTTGTCGGGGCGTTGAGGGTTCTCGCAGCTGACCCAACTTTAACAGTCATGCTGATGTCTGCCTTTGCAGGAGACGGCAAGGCAGAGTTGAGTTCAAGCTCGGCACCTTCTTGCTTCAGAGAGTAGTCGAAAAAGGCAGGAGCTTTTGACGATGTTTGGGACTCTTCAGACAAGTGGGAAGGTTGTGTATTGTCGACGAAACCACGGCTTTGCTTCAGATCACCCGCATCAATTAGTGCGTCTAAGAGAGCGGCTAACTTCAGATCCTCAAGCTGTACGTCCCCAGGGTTCTGACTGCGCCCAGACTCATCGACTGTCGCATCAGACGTTCCGAATTCGCCTGCTGACAGGCCCATGCCCTTCAAGCTTTGTGTCATAGCCCGCAAGGCAGGTGAAAGAGAGCCTTTTAGAGAAATTATGGAGAGGGGTATAGCACGGGGGCGCATTGAATTAGGATCAGGCTGATCCGTCGACGAAGACTGATTCCACTCGGAGTCGTCCTGCGCGATAGAGTCTTCTATGTCCCTCATGAGATCGCCGAGATCTGTGTTCATGCGGTATGCTTCGTAGCCCAGCGAGCGTATCGAACGTGGTGATGGCTCTGCTCCTTCGCCTAGGTAATCTCCAGCAAGATGAGCAAGGTCTTGAGCTTTTAGGACAACAACGTCAGCTCCCATTTCGAGAGCAGTAGATGTTACGCATTCATCTATCAATGGCTCGTGCTCAGCCATGGGTGAGTGAAGGCTAAGGTTTGTCTTTGTAACAGGGAACGAGTCGCCAGCTGGGTGCAAGGAGGAAAGAGACGCAGCCATAGTAGCTCGAATCTCAGCAACGACCAAGGACGATAGGCGTCTGGAGTTGCCAGCCTGTCGAGTCTTTGCGATTTCTCGTTTCCTCGCAACCATGCCCAATTTGGCACTTTGTTTCTTCATGGCCTCGATTTTCTGGCGCGGATCCATGTCTTTGTCGTTCTGTATCTTGCTCAGCTTAGACCAAGCGTCCATGAAAGCAGTGTCTTCGGTGATTGTGGATATGGGTACTTCGTCCGGGCGCCCTGCTTCGGTGCTAGCGACTGCTTCGTCATTCCGGATTTGTGATTGGTGTGTTTCCGCCTGATCGATCGGTGCCATCTGCTCTTCCAAATACCTCTCCACCTTGAGCTTCTCGTGATCGTCCAGGCGCCTGTTCCACAGGCCACGCACTAGTCGCGACAGGATCTGGGTAGCGTCAGAGTCGCGTGGAGCCGGTATGGTGCACGCAGCATGCTCTCCGGACTCAGCATGGGCGACTTGAACAGAGAGAACCGTGGGCGCATTGGCTACTTGTGGGTCTGCGAGATATTGTTGGCGGCGTAGTACCCTCTTCTTCAGAAACCAGTCTGGTATATGGACAGGCGGCAGCCCTTGCGTCTTCTTCCCCCGCTGCTGGCGTCGCAAGGCAGCCGAGTACCTGCGTGAGGTTTCCCGCGATCGCTGCAGCTTCTGTGCCAGAACCTCTGGGTCTTCTGATGCTACCGCACTGTCGGCGGGCTCCTCGACTGCTGCTGCTGCCTTCTCTCGGTCCGTCTTGTTGACGTCATCTTGGTCGGCGGGTGTACTATTGGGCGCGGGCGGTGGGTTCGCGGCTTGGGCGAGGGTGCGTGTGGTGTGGAATGCTCGTAATCGTGGTGTCGAAGGGTAGCGGCGGCCGCGAATAAAGCGCGCTGGAGGTCGTTTCGTAGACACTCGCAGTGCGGACCGAATCACGTACATACGGACGTCGAAGGCGCTCCCAGGATTGGGGAGGAAGGGAGCCTACAGGAGTTGGCGTAGGCTGCGGAGGGGTGGAGGCAATGCGCGGCGCTGCGTCTGATGGCGATAACCATCGTCAACTTTCTTTGATATTCCCCCAGCCAGGGTCCACCCAAGACGCGCCGGCTATTCCCGCCCTATGCCCATCTTCCTACCACAACACATCGCGATATATCTGGCTGCTACTGCGATGCTAACTCTACTCCGTTTATCCTTGTTAGTGATCGAAAATGTTCTTAATGCAAAGGTAGTGCATGTCAACACAAATAGATTGGCAACCTATGACGTAGGCGATGCAGCGGGCATGCGCGCATCAAGAGACATCGAGATGAAGGAGTTCGCATGTGCAAACGAGGCAGCATGCTGCGTCGTCCCATACAAATTACCATGGGAGCGGCCAGCTTCTGGCCAAGCTAGGAATATGTGCGCGAAAATGGAACGTTCTTATTGACCACAAAGTTTGGTAGACCACTCAGTACCCTCCATGTCGATATCAGGTCTAGAAGAGTACAATGACTCCAACTTCGATTATATGCAGCATTCTGAAATGGCTTGGCCACAATGTTCAACAGTTCACACAACTTGGATACGGTGATGGAGCAAGTGGGTCAGGACTGCGTGCCCGTTTGATGCGGAACCTATAGTCTGTCCATGCACTTGGATGGGACCTGACTCCGCTGCATCTCACCAACCGGAGGTCTCGAAACCTGAGCGTGCCAACGCAGTTTGCAACTGGCATGTGTTGGATGGCCTAAAGATGCCCGCGATGAGGCGATGAGGCGAATGCCTCATATGATATGATACTGGATGGTACCACGGATCGGTAGCGACTCGAAAATTCAACAATGAGTGGAACCATAGTTCGCGCATGGTGTTGCCTACATAACTTCCGCGACGGATAGGAGAATGGAAAACAGACTTCTCACGTATAGCTCTTAAATAGTAGGACGGTATTCGCACTCCTGTGTACTCTTGATACACAGATACCTTTTGTTGCGATAGAAAAGATGAACGTCTCCGATGCTGAACAAGCTGGTAAGTTTTGCACCTTTGGTCCTTTGTGTAGATGTGAGCTTACTTCGACATCAGTCGACAGCGCCCGGCCTTCGCTCCGCGAGAAGTCGCGCTCCAGACATTCAAGTATATCAAGTATATCCAGCATATCCACCCATCCAGATGCCGAAAATGTTGGTGACCGTATAACACGGACACAACAATGCCGCATCCTGGGCTCGACCTGTCTGATGGCATTTACGTTAGTAGGCCTCAACCAGGCCTTTGGGGTGTTCCAAGCACACTACGGACGAGAAGCGGCTGTCACGGAAGGCGTCCTCCTTCAGACCGAGCTATCCAAACGCCCGTTGATCTCGGCGATAGGGTCGTTAGGAAATGGAGGGCTCTTCGCCGCCTTTGGAGTGTTCTACTACCCGCATCTTCCCCAATTAGGAGGTCACGTTAGATCTTTGTGCGGATTAGGCACGGCGTTTGTTGTGATCGGATTCGCAACTGCAGTAGCCAGCCACAAGGTGAGTAAAGCTTCCCAACTGCTCTCGCATCAGTCACTTACTAGGACGCAGTTGGCAACACTTGTTGCGTGTCAGGGACTCCTGGTCGGCCTTGGAACCGGCATTCACATCTATCTTCTTGGGCCCATATTACCAGAGTACTTCCCACAGCGGAGCGGCCTCGCACAAGGTGTCATGTTTGCATGCGCGGCTCTAGGGAGCACGGTATGGGTCTTCGCACTGACGGAGTTACTCAAGACGCTCGGTACGCGGTGGACACTAGGAATTCTCGCCATGTTCAGCTTCGCAGTCCTGTCCACTTCTAGTGCGCTCGCCCTTCCACCCCGAAAGTTCGAAAAACGGTCTACCGATATAGTCGGTTGGAAGGTCTTCAAGGATCCGCTTTTCGCTTCACTCGCAGTCGCAAACCTAGTACATCCGTTGACGATGGCAATACCCATGGTGTTCGGGCCCGAGTTTGCTCAGTCCATAGGAACAGGCATCATCCACGGGTCATACCTTTTGGCCATCAACACAGGAGTAGGGATCCCAGGTAGGCTATGCACCGGCTGGCTGTCAGACAAGATTGGACATCTGAACATGCTCATTGTTGCCACTGCGGTGTACGCCATGGCAACGTGGGCGTTCTGGCTATCTGCCGCAATGATGAGCAACGTGGGACTCTACATTGGTATGAGTGTCTGCCACGGGCTGAGCAACGGCGTCTTCAACGTCGTCATCAACTCGGCGCAGAAGATGCTGTTTGGCTCGGAGATGTACTATCCCAAGAGTGGTATGATGACCAGTATACGCGGAGTCGGTTTTGTCATCAGCGCACCGATAGCAGGCGCGTTGGTGTCGAGAGTCGCCAATGTAGACTTGCAAGGCAGAGACTTTGTGGGGGTGATTGTTTATACCGGGTCTTTGTTGACGATCTCGCTGTTCTGTCTCTTGAACGTTCGATGGTTGGATGCGAAGAAGAACGGGTGGAAGCTGGTGCGTTAGTCTGAAAGTTGGGTATCGGTCAGCCTTGAGGGGACAAATTGCTGGTGTGTTGGCGTATTTGTGAAGGATGTTGATGTAGTTGAATGGCGCGCGAAGCTCCTACTTGGTGTTCCGTCCTGCTCTTGTCATGACAGCGTAATTGAGATTGTCTTGTGGTACACCGATGAGACTTGGACATGTGTGTGCCCCACTTTTCGAGTGCTGCACTTGTTCCTTTCCAATGCGATACTCCACTGCGCCGCCCGCGGTGGACACTAGAGCATGTGGATATCCTCAACCTCGCGCGTTGCTATGCGAAGTTGTTATTGCACGGCGTGTACACACGTATACTCTGCCACGTCGCAGCACTCGGTGCAGGTACGGGTCCGACGTGCCAGGGCTACCCGGGAGATGCATGACTGGGTCGCACAACAGCCGGACACCTGCGTCGATGAGCCCTGCATATCGGAGCCTCTCACGATGTCATCAGATTGTGCAAGTCGCGAAGTCGATGGGGAAATTGGTGTGGCTGGACGAGATTGTGATGATGCATGGTGATAGGGTTTAGCGAGCTGCACTCCGCCTGTTCCTCGCGCCGTAGATCGTCGCTTCCTTGCGTGTCGTGACCGCCCAAACAAAGGCCCCGTCGAGCCAATTCACCCTCAGATGCGCGTCGCCGTCTGATGCACGACCGCCCGAGCTGCAGCTTCTTTGCCCCTTCACCGTCACCACTCTAGACCGCACTCACCCCGCTCAATTGCGCGCCCACGTCCCTTTTTTTGATAGCGGCCGGATCCCCGTTCCGCAGGCGCAGCAGAGAATCCCTACCAACCACGCGATATTCACCTCACCTCGCCCTCCCCCAGCAAGCAGGCGCGCCTAGTGCCATGACGTCTTTCTGAGATGTCTGCTAGCCATCGCAAACCTCCTCCACCACTGACCTGGAGGCCGCGATGTCGCTTACGCCCTCCAATCCCCGGATGATGAGCCCAGCCATCGGGTCCGGCATCAAGCTCAATCCCTCTCCCTCCCCATTCTTCAAGACGACCCCGCGCTCGCCCGTCAAGGCTGGACGCGCCGAAGCCAGCCTTGCCTTGCGCCAGGTCATCGGCACCACGACCAATTCGGCCAATGCCTTTGACAGCCTGCCGTCGGCGAGCACCTTTGGCTACACGGCGGGTGCTGCCGCTGTCATTGCGTGCATAGACGACCAAGGCCGTGTCACCCAGCGCTTCTACCGCGCACGCCCGACCACCAACCCCATCAATCCCTCGGCTTCCATCTATGGCGGGCCCTCCACCCCGACCCAGAATGAGAGTCGCAATCGCACCGCCGTGTCGTTGCGCGACGCCGGCTTCGGGGGCTCACCACTGCCGTCGCCCAGTGCGCCCGACTGGGCAGACTCGCCGAGCAACAGAGCTTGGAACATGAAAGAGAAGATCAAGGCGGCAACCTGTGTCAGCTTCAGTCCTGACGGGAAATTCTTCGCCGTCGGAGAGGTGAGACATGTGCCGACTTCATGCTGCATCATCCTAACTTTTCCCAGACGGGCTACAAACCGCGTGTACTCATCTTCTCTGCCTCGTCAGACGCCCCATCGGACACGCCCCTCACGTCCCTCTCGGATCACACCTTCGGCGTCAACTGCGTAGCCTTCAGCCCCGACTCGCGCTTCCTTGCTAGCTTAGGCTCAGCCAACGATGGCTTCTTATACATCTGGCACATCAACTCCCGCACCGGAGCTGCCACGCTACATGCTAGCAACAAGTGCGTCAGCCACATCAATCGGATGGCATGGATGGGAAACAAGCTCGTCACTGTCGGCGTCCGCCATGTCAAGGTCTGGAAGATCGATGACCTCAACGCCACAATGCGCATTAGCAAGGCGCGCCAGAGCGATGTTTCGTTCCTCTCAGGCTCGACGCACAAGACATTACCAGGGAGAAACTGCATCCTGGAGAATTTGAAGGAGTCTACATTCACAAGCGTCGTCGCTATAGCCCGGAACAAGGCCATTGTGGCTTCCGACAAGGGAGACATATGTCTCATCGACGATACCGAATCCGACCACCGCTTCTCGAGACTGGTTGATGCCGGCTTTCCTGTCAGTTCTCTAGCAGTCGACGTCAAGGGACGACTACACATTGCCGGTAGCCAAGGCGCGCTCAAAACCTTCAACATAAAAGATATGATTGGAAGACTGACTCCGCCGCCCTCGCCTCCACCGCGCATAGAGTCTCCATCCATCTCGGTCACGGACAGCAGCCAAATCGGTGTAATTGCTTGTCTCAAAGACTACCTTATTACTGTCGATGCACACCGAGCAATTCGACTGTCGCAACTCTGCTCCGAAGACGACGAAGGCGTCGTCGGCAACGTCGTCCACACATTGCCTGCGCACGGGCATGCTGTGTTAGGAGTACACGCTGGTCTCACACAACCGAACGTTTTCGAGGCTTCATACTACACATGGGCAGCTGATGGGACTGTCATCTTCTGGAGTCAAGGATCCTGTAAAGGTTCGCTTCAAGTACAGCTTGAGCAGCTGGAGGATCCCGAGGCCGTTCCGAATGAGCTACGGACAGTTCGTGTCTCTGCCGATGGCGCTTTCCTCGTCGCTGGAGACAAGTATGGCGTTCTACGGTTCATCAATTGCAACACCAAAACCTGCACATTAGAGTTCAAGGCTCACGCCAGTGAAATCACTAGCATCGCCATACACGAAGAGTCGAATATCACTTTTGTCGCATCCGCCAGTCGAGATCGCACCGTTCAAGTGTTCACCCGATTAGAGCAGACCTGGGATCTACTGCAAACCTTGGACGAGCATGTGGGAGCAGTGAACGGGGTTTCCTTCTCACGAAATGGCACTCGTCTAGTCTCGTCTTCCAGCGATCGAAGCCTCGTCGTCCGCGAACTGTTGTCTCTCGAGGAGGCTCGTGGAACGACCCGCGCTTTTGTCATGTCACGCGCTATCATGTTGAAGGCAACTCCAGTGTCGTCGGCCTGGGACGTTGATCAGGATGATGTCTTGCTTGTGTCAACCATCGACCGTCAGGTCCACAAATTCGACATTCGAACAGGTCAAAGTCTCAGCAACTTCCGTGCATGCGACACTGATGGTGGGGATGCCGTCGTTCTATCTTCCCTAGTCCACATACCACGTAATTGGGGCGCTCCACTAATAGCTGGTGTGTCGAGCACCGATAAGTCGATACGCGTTTACGATGAAAGCGGCTCTTTGGTTGCTCGTGACTGGGGCCACACTGAAGGTGTCTCTGATATCGCGCTTGTGGAAACACCTGGGCAAGTGAGTGAAGAGTTGGGCGAGAAGTCACTGGTCACAGTAGCAGTAGACGGAACTATATTTGCATGGGCTTTAGCTTTACAAGCTCCCAATCGTCAAGACATATCAAAGTCGATGGATTTGCTCGCCCCAAATACGCCTTCCAACCAGGATCTGCTATCCAACAAGCCACCTCTACGACGCGTATTCTCACAATCCGAATTAGCACGTTTTCAACGCTCACCCGTGGAAGAGACTCCTCCGAACACTGGGAGTAAGTCACCAAAGCTGCGTAAAAAAGTATCAAAATTCTCCTTGGCTCCAACGCCGAAACTTGATCCATCTCCTATGCCTACAAGTTCACGCGAAGGCCGAATAACAGCATGGAATGGCGGGGGTACAATACGCAAGAACAAAAACCGCTCCCCATCGCCACCTAGCCCTAAAAACCCGCAACTCGGCAAACGCCGTGCCTCCATGGACGCCAGAAGTCGCGCGAAAGCACCTGTCAGCGACTCTAGCAAGATCGGAGCGTCGACCGAGAGTTTATGCAGGACGTTGCGAGCCTACAGGAAACGTCTCGCAAACACTAGTGATACTATTAGCCCAGAGATAGCGAAAGAGGTGGAAAGGGAGCTTGCGGCTACCGCGAGGGCAATTGGGGAAAGGATAAAATCCAAAGCTTTTGAGGAGACGGTCATGGTCAAATTACTGGACCAATATTCCGAACGGTTGGTGACCATGCTGGATGAGAAAATCGCAGCTAGCGTAGCACAACGGGTACGCGAGAGTAGCGTTGGCAACTTCTCAGATAGTGCAGATTCGCCCGTTCTTGCACAGCATCCATCAAGAAGTAGAGCGGGCAGTGAGGAAATCGGAGCGGGTCGTGTAGATGATTTGGAATCGGGGACCGAGGCCCTGGTCTTAGAGACCACGGAAAGGTGACGACGGAATGAAGGTGTTTAAACACCAACGTGGGTACAGGGGCGCAACCCGTCAGGACTTCGGCGCCCGGGTCAGTTTTCATGAGTCATATGGCCAGGTCGGCGTTCAATGGATTATATATCCAGCAAGTAAGCGGCGTTTAGGATAAGAGAGCGCAAAGCTCAGCATGACATGGCGTTTGATGGAGGTTGGCCAATTGGTCGACGAGCAATGCTCCGCTAGTACTACAGCATAGGAGATAATCGTAGTCCTTAGTAAGATTTCCTCTCTTTCCAAGAGCTTTCCGTGCGCGTTAGTTCTGCTGTCCTCGCATGCATCGTGATGATGTGCTTCCTCTCGGTCACAGGAACAGAGCGAAGGCCCAATCAGCTAGCGCACTTGGGCCTAGTCCGGACCCTTACAGTGCTCCCCTTCCTCGTTGGAGCAACGCATCTTTCAGACAAATCATCCTCGGAGCAGAACGATCAAAGAAGCCGATGAAGTTTACAGTCTCGCAACCCAGTATCACTTGATTGAGGTAGTTCTGAAGTGACATCATATCTAACCAAGCATGAGGCAAGACATGGCAAGTGGCAACACTACATTGTAGCTATGTAGCTATGTAACCTCACTCATAATATCAATACCCCTACTCTATCCCTCATGAAACGCTTCCTCGCCCACATCGACACTTTAATACGCACCATGTCCCCTCCCGCTACCTCACTATCAGCCACCTCTCGCGCACCCACATCCTCCAGACCAGCGCGTCTGGACGACTACCTAGGCCTCTCGCATCCACCTCTCGCCCAAAAATCCTGCATCGTAAAACCCCTCTCCATAGCAGTTGAAGACGGACCCGACAGCTCTGTACCAGGCTTCCTTCACTTGCCGCCTACAACATCCGCCACGCCGTCTGGCAAAACAGCAGCAATTCTCCTTTCGGGCGCGGGAGGAGGCGTCGTGGGCCCATCATCTATATACCTTTCCTTGGCCGATAAATTGGCTTTGTTAAAGCAGCCTGTACCCGCGTTACGACTAGACTACAGATATCCCGCGCGCAACAAGTACTGCGTTAGAGATGTGTTAGCCGCCATGAAAGAACTAAAAGACTCGTATCAAATAAATAAGTTCGTGTTAGTAGGTTGGTCATTCGGCGGCGCACCCGTCTTCACTATTGGTGGGCAAGACAAGAGAGTCGTGGGGTGCGCAACGGTTGCTAGTCAGACTGCAGAAACGGAGGGTATACGGTCACTTGCGCCACGACCGGTATTGCTTCTTCACGGGACTGGGGATCGCACGTTGAGTCCGCGGTGCTCGGAGCGGTTGTACAACATGTATGGGAGTGGGGGTGAAAGGGAATTAAAACTTTTCGAGGGAGATGACCATGCGTTGACGCAGAATTCGCTCGAGGCGGAGCAGTGGATTGGTGGGTTCGTGCTCAGGTGTGCTGGGTTGGATCCTGAAGGTGGGAAGGAAGGGTTGGCGGAGAAGTTGGTGGGTGAGGAGGAGAAGGCTGGGTTGATGGAGAGGGGTGGTGATTTGAGGGGAGGGGAGAGTGTGGTGTAGTGGTGAGATTCATGATAAGAGGGATCTTGCTATCTTTTCAGACTCCTCAAATCGCGTTCCAGTAGTGGGTATGTTTTGATCTCATGGCTGGCTGAGTGATGCGCCTGCAAGAACAGTAAGCCCGGATGCTTCGAAGTTCTGCCTATTACGCCCGGCGCCCAGGCTTGTCAATACCAAGTCGATAGCTACGCCTTCGCTTGGATATATTCAATGTTTAATTATATAACAGAGATGTTGCTACGCGGTTAAGGGACCTGCGTGATAGACCGCGGCTGTAGAAGACGAACCAATCGGGGACAATGTTGTGTGAGGCTCAAAATATCTTATGCGCCACCTGACTGCAGGTGTAGAAGACAAAGAAATCGGCAAAAAAGGAGCAGAGATATCAGAGACCTAATATTGTCGAAGCCTTTCCTGGTGTTTTTTTTTCCTTCACTTTTTCCTTCCTTTCTCTTGCACTTGCATCGCAACCATGAGTTTCAACGGCGCGAACTGTATCCTCTTACCGGCTCTTGAAGCAGTCGTCGCACGCTATGTGCTTGCAGAATGTCTTCCGGGCACCTCTCTCACCACGTACTGGCTAGCTTCTACTATTCTCAACAACACAGTCCTCATCTTCTACAACATGGTCCTCTATCCTTTCTTCCTTAGCCCACTGCGCAATCTGCCGCAACCCAAAGGCTTCATTCCGCTCTTCGGCCACGGACGGTTGCTATTGAAGAAGCGTCAGGCAGGCGGGGACTGGCATCTGCAAACCATGAAGACAGTGCCCAACGACGGCATCATCCTCCGGCGAGGGTTTCTTCATACCACTAGACTTATCCTGACCACGCCGGCGGCACTGGCAGATGTACTGGTGCACAAGAGCTATGATTTCGAGAAACCGTCTCGAGCAAGAAGGTTCCTGATGAGGTTCCTGGGAGAGGGCTTGTTGCTAAGTGAAGGAGAAGAGCACAGGCTACAGCGGAAGAGGTTAGCGCCTGCGTTCCACTTCAGGAACGTTAAAGAATTGTATCCTGTGTTTTGCGCAAAGTCGATGGAGTTCTGCGGCGCGATTAGGCAGGAGCTTTTTGGGCGACCAGATGGCGTATTGGATATCTGTCAGTATACATCGCGGGTGACGTTGGACCTCATCTGTCTCGCTGGTATGGGTCGGGATACCGGGTCTCTGTTGAACGCCGATGACGAGTTGATCAAGAACTACGAGGAGATTCTGGAGCCCTCCGCGGAGAAGATGTGGTACTATGTGGCTAACATTGTCCTACCGCCTTGGCTGGTCAGCATCCTACCCTGGAAGCTGCATGAGCGGGCCAGGGTTACGACGAGGAATTTGCGCAGGATTTGTTCCGAGTTTGTAGCGGAGCGGAGGGCAAAGATGCAGCATAAGGATGCCGAGAGCCGTGACATCTTGTCGATCATGATACGCGACAGCCAACTGTCGGATAAGAACCTGGTTGATCAACTCCTCACCTTGTTAGCCGCAGGGTTAGTACCCCTACCTTCAAGTCCACTCGTGCACAAAGCTGACCGGTACAGTCATGAAAGCACGTCTTCTGCCTTGATATGGACGTCCCACCTACTGGCCCAGCACCCAGCCGTTCAAACGCGCCTTCGCTCCGAGATCCAGCAATGTATCCCTGATCCAAAAGTCCTCTCGGACTCCAGCTTCAATTCCGCCAGCCTTTTGGCGAATATGCCCTACCTTAACTGCGTCCTTAACGAAGTCCTGCGCCTCTTCCCTCCAGTTCCCATCACGGCGCGCGTCGCCATCAGAGACACGGTAGTCTGTGGCCAAATCATACCCAGCGGCACCATGGTATGGATCGCTCCATGGGCAATAAACCGCAATCCGCAGCTGTGGGGCCCGGACTCTGAAAAGTGCGTACCCGAGCGTTGGATCGACAGCAAGACGGGGCGCGCGACGATGAACGGTGGGGCGGACAGCAACTACAGTTTTCTCACGTTTTTGCATGGGCCGAGGAGCTGTATAGGAGAGAGATTTGCGAGAGCCGAGCTAAGGGCGCTTGTTGCGGCGTTTGTGGGGAGCTTCGAGTTGGAAATGGAAAACCCTAAAGAGAAGGTTGTCGTAGGTGGTGCGATCGCTAGTAAGCCGAGGAATGGGATGAAGCTTAAGCTGAAGAACGTGCAGTGGGGTCCTTGAGAGTTCTGGTGGTTCTGCACGTGGGTAGCGATCGCGGCTGCTACCGTATCATGCTAGGTCCTTTGACTGGCGGAAGTGAATCGCCATGCGCGATGCCGGATTTAGTGAATACTTCCTGTTTTCGTCAAGATCGTAGCATGAGAATCCTGCTGCGGAGGCTTTGCTTTTCTGCATCTACCGTGATGAGCGTAGAAGAGCTGCGTACTAGTGTCGGTGGCAGCCTGGATACAGACTAATACAATGCGGTGGCTGCATCTCAACCAGGATTCGCTATCGCTTCTATAAGCACCAGACGCGAATGCGATGAGTCCACCGAATGAGAGCAGTTGGCCCCATAAACGTTGCCAGGTACGGCTAAAAACGGTGGTAAATACTGAGTCGCAAGTGCTCTGTTGAGGAATGTGCGGGGATGGTGGCCTCGATTGTCTTCCAGCTACTTCGAAATGGGGAGGATCCGAGGACTATGGTGTCCACAGCTTATCTTGACTCGTCTCTAGGCTCGTATGTTGATTTCTTGACTTGTCTTTATAGTTTCCGTTTCCACCATGCTCTCGACGGCAGAATAATTGAGAGTTGCAAAATCCGGCAGATGCGAGATGGTTGCGTGTAGGAAGCAGCGGATCGTGTATTGCGCAGTGATCGAATTGGAAGCACACGGTCTTGGACGTAAAAGGTCGCATGAGGAAGTGTCAGAAAGACATGTATGTGTTAGTTACCGCGCGGGAGGAACGGCGGATGTGCGTCCGGACAAGTGTGAGCGCGCAGATGTTGTCATCCGAAACCTTACAAAGCCGGTTGCCGAAAGGCTAGCCACAACTGGACCGCAACATCAAGTTCTGCATCTCGGGATCTGATCGAGGTCGACTAGAGCGAGATCCTGAACAAGATCCTGTGATGCAGGATTGTGGTCTTATCGTACTTCTGTGGGACGGCGCGAATCTGCTAACTGAGTTAAACCGTATCTACCGTACAGAATTAAGCGATATGCACAAGTCGTAAGATTGGGCGTCTACTAATTGGGGGGCGTCTGTTTAGATCGGCGCGGAGTACTAAAAACTACGTGCCATGCCTGTCCGCGGAGCGTGAAACACATTGACATGTCGGAAATTTTTTGGCTGACGTAGCGACACAGCGTACGAGACTATCGCGTTGATGCGATCCTTTGACAAATTTTCCAGATCAAAGCATGAATTCTTTTTTACTCGTTGCGACGTGCCTGCAGCGGGCGCGTACGCACGTAGAGACGGACCCCACGTGCAGGGCTGATCGTGGCGAATTTACTATTGGTTGGCGGTTCTGCGGACGCCACCGAAATGTAGCCTGCCTAACGTCATGCATCAACTTGCCATTTCATAAGGTTTCATACTCAAGATGCAGGTCTTGAGTCAATTGAATAACGTTCTTGTTTCGCCGCGCAGGTGACACGACACCAATTCTGTACAAGATCCATGCTCGACAAGGCTCAGCGATCGAAAGCCCCACGTCGATAAATTCGTCCTAGTGTTAGCATGCGCGGGTGTTTCCTCGTTACGAGTTCCTCAGATATGACAACGGGGCAGAGGGTGTGCTTCTTTAGATTGACTCTCGTTGCGCTAGCTAGGGTAACTAGTCAATTCGAGTAAAGAGCGACATACCTGAACTTGACGATCAACGGTCGGCATATGTAAGTGACAAGTACATACTTTCTCGTTATCCGGTATTACTGTGCCGCAAAGCCGACTCGTCCTTCAACTTCAAGCTGGCGTACGTTCCAGGCTCAAAGTAAGAATAGTAGTGCCATTCGACTCTGTCGAACGAGTCAGCTGCCCCGCAACACCACTGACACGTCTGGTTGTGTTGCAGGGTTGGAGGCTGGCAGCTAGGACCCACGAGAGTATGATTTGCATGCTCCCACAATTGCTGAGCAAGCATTACGTGGTCCAGCTACTACTCTTATCCTATGAGGGATATCGGAATTGTATTTTCCGCCTGGATCGTATACGCAATGCCAAATAGTCCACATGTAAGATTTGGCATTAAGTTCTGCATGTCGATCGACTTTCCCGTAAACACATAGAATCCTAGTCTATGGCAAAAGCGGTACTGTAGAAGTTGGTGGCCGCATGCGAAGTGGTCCGACCACAACGCCCTGGGAAGCCAAAGTCCTGAATGGGTATCCTGGTTGACACGCAGCCGCGCAGCTTGTCGCTGGGAAATCGGTTGGCGACTGGAATTTGTGGGTGGCAAAGCTTTCATGAAGTTGAAATAGAGGAAATCACCGTTGGATGATGTTCTATAGGACACCAATAACAGGGAAAGAGTGACATCAACCCACAATAATTCTGATGATTGGGATCGGAGGGCCAGGGCTGGGGAGAAGCCAGGCGCTTATTGGCCACGGTGAAGCATCCCGACGGGATTTCCGAGGGACTGAGAAGAACCGCAAACCTTAGCTCAACAGACATCCAGCTGTAAGCGTGTATGCGTACAATTCAGGGTACATGTGAGATCAAGTGGGTAAGGCTGCATGTCCATATCCGGATTGGCAGTAGACGCTCACCTGAAGCCTCAATGCGGTCGAAGGTGATCTCGGGTAGCCGCCGTAGTCTGGGGTTCTCACATTACTCGCTCCCTTGCCGCGTCGTCTTCTTCTGTTTTGGAATTACGTTCGGTCTTTCGAACAACATCCCACGTCGATCCATGGTAAACTGCCCTGGATCATGGCATCGAACATCCCGGAGCATCATTACCAAGGAAACTATGGCTCCCCTTTGTTCGGGCAACAGAAAGTTGCGATTCCACGGCTGCAGAGAGTCGAGCAAAGACAAAGTGGACTGAAGGACAGGCGTCGAGTCCCACGGGCCTGTACTGGTGTAAGTCTGAATCGCGTACGAGATTTTTGTGCCGATGACGGGTGCTCGATTTTACACAACTCCTGGTTTAACCAGGAGTCTCAGCCGATGGGCTTTCCGATAGGCCAGTGTTTTTTGAATTTGGTACGGCTTCTGACAGCGGCATTTTTAGTGTCGCTCCCACAAGATCAAATGCACGGGCGAGAAGCCAAGGTGCAAGCATTGTGCGACCACGAATCGCGAATGCGTCTACATTTTGCCCCGGAAAGATCGATTGAAAATGTCTGTCCAGTCTCCCCTGGAAATTATGTTTGCATTGCTGACATTCCCAGCGTCACTGAACAATGCCACCAATTAACCGACTTCCTAACGCAGTTAAGGGACCGGGTAAGCACCGAGGATGGGGAAAGGATTGCCGACATTCTGGAAGATGTGAGTTGGGTCCTGATAGATCTTATGCACAAGACGCGAAAGGGAAAGACTAGAAAGCTGACATGGGCTAGATGGATGAAGACCTGTCAGAACAGAGGCGTACTCCGACCCCAATCCCCTCGCAACCAGACGTCGACAGTCATGGTTCACAAGGCAGCGGAGAGGCGAGCGGTTTCGAGCACTTCGAGCATCTTGACACTGAGGCATTGGATCTGCTGGACGAAGACTTACACAGTAGCGACGGAGCCCGGTCAACAGGATTCGTTGGCAAGAGCTCAGAAGTACAGTGGTTGCGTACAGTAGCTCTTGCTCAACAAGAAAGACCAGACGGAGAATGGTCCGGATCCAGGTCCCAACGCCGTCCTTCGAACGTTCTCAGCAACGAGCAAGTAAGCTCATTCAGCTTCTGGGCCGACTGCGATGACGTGAGTGTCAACTTTTACGTGGATCCGTATGAGCTGCCGCGACCCGATTTCGCCGAGCATCTGGTGCAATGCTACATGCTCAGAGTGCACGACTCTTTCCCGATTCTACCACGCAACTTCGTCAAACAAACTCGCGTATACTTTGCGGCGCTACGTGAGGGAAAGGCACCGCGTCTAAATCCCAAGTGGCAGGCGATCCTGAATCTTGTTTTCGCTATCGGCGCCAACTATTCGTATCTTTACAACAAGGACTGGCCGGAGGGCGATGCAAACCTGTTCCACGCAAGAGCGAGGGCTTTTGGGTTGAATGAAGCCTCCCTGACCACACATTCCGATGTACCGCAAATCCAAGGCTTGGGGCTTCTTGCGTTTTATTGGCTAAGTGTTGGACAAGTCAGTCGGTAAGTCGCAATCCGGATGGAGAGTTAGTGCCGTCTTGCTAATCAGTCCAGGGCGTGGACGCTTGTCGGTGTGGCTTTGCGATCAGCCTACTCTCTCGGTCTCCATGTACGGAACGAGGACCCCTCTGCAAACGCATCAAAACGTGAGACGTTGGTGCAAACTTGGTGGAGTTTGTACTCACTTGAGAGAATTCTCAGTATCATTACTGGCCGGCCCAGCATCATTGTGGACTCGTGCTGTTCGGTGCCATTGCCTATGACGAATCCAGGAGAGGAACCCCTAGGAGAAGCGGAGACAACACATGGCATGCGTACGGTGATTGCATCACTATCAGACTCGCCCACATTTTCCGCCTCTTCAAATATCGCCGCGAACCCTCCTCACATGGCGATAGGGTCTCGGGCAACAGATGTCAACTCAGGCTCTTACTTCAGAGCTGTCGTTCAGCTGTCCATTATATCCCAAAACATTCTCACGTCTCTTTATTCCGCGGGTACGATGATCCGGTCGCCAAGTGAGATCCAACAGGATACCCATCTTCTGAGCCAGCGTCTCGATCAGTGGAGTTCCTCATTACCACCAGAGTTTAGATCGCATGAAGGATTGCGTGAACCGCATGACGTGTTCGCCCGGGAACGCGTGCTTCTCCGATTCCAGCTTTGCACCGCGCGGATCTTGCTCACACGGCCGTGCTTGACTGCACGGCGACAGCCATGGAAGGATGCGGGCGACGCAAACTTCTCGAGGCGCATGGCGGACAGCTGTATCGAAGCTGCCAGAACAATCGTCGCTTCTCTTCCAGAGGAATACAACCCTCAGATGTATGAGCAGTGTCCCTGGTGGTGTCTCGTGCATCACATGATGCAAGCCATCTCTGTCTGTCTTCTCGGTCTCTCATACCCAGCATCGA